GAAGCTAGTGAATGGTCCATGGTGTGCTGATGCATCCTGGCGAGACTCGCACGGAACTGACCATCAGCCACAACTACACTGGAAAGGGCTGCGCAGGACTGTGAGGCCGTATGTCAGCGTTGCCAAAGCTGCAGATGAACAAACCCAAGACACGTAAGCTGGGATTGATGCTCCAAGACTTGCGAGGAGATCCCTTGGGAAAGACTATGTATTGACCTGATAGGCCTTACAACGTCGGGGATCCAAGAAAAAAATTCCTGCACACTTCATGCTTGACAATGATTGATCCCGTAACGATGGTTCGAGATTGCAGAAACTGCTCCAAGGCAGCAGAGAAGTAGCCATCGTCCTAGAACAAGTGGCTTACTCGGTACCCATGGCCTGCTGAGGTTATCATGGATAGAGGACGGAGTTCCGCGCAGAGGTCGAAAGACACTCCGGATGAATATGGACTTCGTCGAAAGTTCATCACCACGCGTAACCTCAAGCCAACTCCTATGGTGAACGTGCTCATCAACCATACGAACTTGACGCTGTTCAAAACATCAAGTGCCAAGACGACCTCTGTGAATGATCCTGGGCTGATCCTCACGGCGGTTCGCTTTGCAATGCACATTGCCACGATTCATACCACCGTTCGCGCAACGCCCGCGCCAGCTCGTAGTTCAATCGTGACCGATTCACAACGTCCGTTCGAAGCCAACTGAAGTACATTAAGGAACGTCGCCACGACTGAACCAACAAAACAACGATAGGGAAAACGCAACGCTGTCCCTCATCAATACAATGTCAACGATACTGTGATGATATCAACAGTACAGCACCGCAAGTACGGTCAGCCAAAGTACAAAGGTCCTTACACTATAGACCGAGTCAATGACAATTGGCACTGTACGGCTCCAACATGCTACCGCCAACGGCGCACAGTCTACCAGACTTGGAACATAAGGTATATACACCCATACAGGCCTGATCCCCTTGTAGGATTGACATCGTGCGACGCACATGTCTACATCCAAATCTCATGAGAGTGCCCCGCACTTTAAATAATATGTTCTCCTTTCCGACTGCTGTCGCGCCTCTGTGACCCCTTGTCAGGGGGCGAATGCAATACACGGCTCTTAGCATGCTACCTTAGATCGATCCTAGATAGGGTTTGAGTTCGAACTCATGACTGAGTCCTCTCGTGAATAGTCATTTGAGACAGGGTTCTCATGACCGCGCTAGTCATACTTAGTGATGATGAAACATCGCTCTAGATATTTAGCAGCGTGGAGTATTCCACGCTACTAGATCCAGGCTAGACAACCTTCCACGCGTTCCGTTTTAGATCGTGGAGAAACGTAGGACTACTACCACAACCTACTCTATCACACACTTTATAGTCTCCCGCGGGAAGCCAGATCTACGATCCTTTGATGATGATCTCTCTCGTTGATTAGTTTTCATAGCTTTCTAATCTCTCTCATAACTTTCATTCTCTCAAACTCAAAACACTCGAAAGATCTTACACTAGCTTTAGCGTAGTGCACGATCGATCGATCCGTTGCTGAAGCTGAGCATGGAAGGAGTGAGAGGTCCGACTTTGCCGGTGATAGAGATAACAGTAGTAGTAGTACGTAGCAGCATACCAGTAGTGGCTCCTGCAGCGATCGAGATAACAGGGTCCTCATTGAGATTTCGATCGTCAATAGGATTAAGAACAAGGGGATTGCTTTTGAGCGAATCCAAAATGATAGGATGATCCTCATTGAGATTACGATCGTCAATAAGGACAAGGGGATTGCTTGCGAGCGAATCCAAGGGAAGTGAGTTGCAATAAAGGAAGGACTACCGATGAAGAATGCAAGAGGAAACTCATCAGGAGCAATCTGCATCAAGGAGTAGCCATTCATTGACAACCATAGGGGATAGACATATAGGAAATAAGAATGAGTAACATCTCATAACCTCGCATGCTACCATGCGACAATACATTGTGATTGATCATCTAACGATCTAAGAGATGTAAAGTTTGTATTTCCAAATTAAGTGAGCAGTTATTGATTATTTTCTAGAATAAGCCTGCTAATTGTAAAGCTGTAAAGCTGAATTGTAAGCTGTATCCCGTCGCAGTTTGTCTAGCCTGGATCTAGTAGCGTGGAAGTACTCCACGCTAGCTAAATATCTAGAGCGATGTTTCATCATCAAATCTAGTATGACTAGCGGTCTTGAGAACCCTGTCTCAAATGACTATTCACGGAGACTCAGTCATGAGTCGAACTCAAACCCTATCTAGATCGAGTCGCGAATAAGGCTAAGGCCGCTCTCTACCGGAGGGACTAAAGTAGCGACTAAAGGAATCCTTTAGGTGGTTGTTTAGTTCAAGATTTAGTCATTATCCTTTAGTAATGGTGGTGTCTACCAGCAGATGACTAAATCTCGGACTAAACAATTTAGTCGAGTTTTTAGTCAAAATGGTGTCTACCCTGGCGACTAAACAAACACTCGACTAAATCCATTGCAGGTGCTGGACTTATAAGGCCTCAAAAATGATTTAACAAAAGTGATCGCTTGGTGGGCTACCAATATTCTATCAGCAAGGTGGATTTAAAGGACTCAAACAAAAACTTAATAGAAGACTTAATAGAATTGATTACTTTTTTGAGATAACAAGACTGAGATAACAAGACTCAAAACACACCATTGCGACCTCTTCGATTGTTCGATCGTTTGCACCTCTACTACCGGTATCATTCAGTCAAAGGCCGAGAAATGAAAGCCATCCCGCACTCCATACTTTGCAATGAGGGATGGCTTTCTATTCTCAACCGAAGACTGTCGGCTTGATAAAGTGCGATAGTTGCACCTCTACTATCGGCCGATACTCCTCTTCGATCGTTCGATCGTTCGATCATTCGATCGTTCGATCGGTTGCACCTCTACTATCGGCTGATACTCCTCTTCGATCGTTCGATCGTTCGATCGCACCTCTACTCTATCAGCTCTGTCGCGATGCTCTGATAGTGAGGCTGTGCAATGAGGGTGCTGTTCTTTTTTCAAAGTGCTGTTCTTTTTTAAAAAGTGCTGTTCTTTTTTTAAAGAGTTCTTAAAGAAGCTTTAGTCGTTATGTTCGCTCACCGACTAACCAGCCTCCCGTTAGTCGGTGAGCGAACATAATGACTAAAACCTTTAGTCCGTGGGACGTTTAGTCGCTTGGGTAGACACCACCCTCAGAGACTAAACTATCGACTAAACTACGAAATATGGCTTAGTCGCTACTTTAGTCGCTTGGGTAGAGAGCGGCCTAAGAGCCGTGTATTGCAATGGTTGCGAAGTTTGCAAGTGGTTGCACGAGTATCGTCGATCTCGTTTTGGTCGTCATTGTCGACGAGAGGAAGAATGGGTTTGTCACGCAACTGTTTTTCGAAGTTGCGGAACGCATGCTTTCCTTGAGCCATCTTCATGGTGAAGGAATAGATTGAGGGTAGCTGAAAGCTATTGTGTTTGTTAACAAAATGCACTACGCTAAAAGCTAGTGTAAAGATCTTTCGAGTGTTTTGAGTTTGAGAGAATGAAAGTTATGAGAGAGATTAGAAAGCTATGAAAACTAATCAACGAGAGAGATCATCATCAAGGGATCGTAGATCTGGTTTCCCGCGGGAGACTGTGAAGTGTGATAGAGTAGGTTGTGGTAGTAATCCTACGTCTTTCCACGATCCTAAAACGGAACGCGTGGAAGGTTTGTCTAGCCTGGATCTAGTAGCGTGGAAGTACTCCACGCTAGCTAAATATCTAGAGCGATGTTTCATCATCAATCTAGTATGACTAGCGCGGTCATTGAGAACCCTGTCTCAAATGACTATTCACGAGAGACTCAGTCATGAGTCGAACTCAAACCCTATCTAGGATCGAGTCGCGAATAAGGCTAAGAGCCGTGTATTGCACTTGTCTTTGAAGGGTCAGGATCTTAAGATGTCTGCTTTGAGATCATATCAGTGTTCTGGTTGGAAGTTTGAAGCTTGGATGCGCCAATGGGGTCCTTTCCTTCAGCTGTCTGAGTACTGATAAGAGTCATTGTCATTGTCACTGCTTTATCGCCTTGTTTTGGATTGGTTAGTTAGTTGTTTCGGTTGTTGTCCGAGTTGTGAGCCAATTTCTTGCTCCGGTCAAAATCGCTGCGTTTGCGCGGTCTTGCAAATTTGGACGCTGTCCTGCTATTTCGAGTCATGACAGAAGAATGATCGACTGATGGATCCAGTCACTGTTGCAAGATTTCTGTCCCGTTTTGTTGTTGTTGTAGTTTGCCATCGCCAAGCTGGGTCCATACAGTAGCGTTGGTTGCAGAAAAAGAGGGAAGTGGAGTCGACGAAATGAAGTTGAAAAGGGACAGCTTGATGGTGGCTGTACAGCAGACCCCATTACATGCACTAGCAGGCTCTTAGAGCATCTTCTACCGTACCATCAGATTTCATTTAGATTGGGTCATTTGAACACAATCTAAACCAAATTTGATCATATCTTGTTTCTATCGCTGTTGTAGAAATGCTGTTTAGATTCCGTTTGGACCAAATTTCAATGAAAACAAAATTTTTGTTTAGATTAAGCTAATCAAAACGAAAAATTCTGTCCGTTCAGATGTGGTTGTGACCGAAATAACCAGTCAGGATTTAACGCATCGGTGAGTCCACCAAGTCCAATAAGCCAAGCAATTGAGTCCAGTGAGTCAATTGAAACGAAAAATAGACAAAACTGATAGAGAATGCTTTTTGAGTGGTGACACTTTACCCTCTAAATATCGAAACGAAAAATGTTCATAGATATCTAAACGAGCGGTAGAAAATGCTCTTAGTACCGGTATCAGGTCCTACTGGCATGCTGCCGGTCCGATGGAAACCTCCCAAAAGAAAAGACATGAGATCTTCAAACTCAGCCGCTTTTCTCGCCTTTCTACTCAGCTCTGCTGTTCTTTTTTCAGTCACGGACCCAGCTGGCGCCATCGGAGGCAAGCAGAGAGCGGACAATGACACAATGACACAATAGCTTCCTCCATCGACTGGTTCCCTCCATTACCGTAGAATCAAGATGCCGTCCAACACTCCCAAGATGGATGTTCTCGCCTTGTTAGATGCCTATAGCCAGGTCCATGAACGGGCGCAGAAGGATCAAAAGGCGTCTACCTGGCAGCTGACGTTGGCACGAAAGAGCACAGGACGCGGCGGAGCTCTGATGAATGGAGTCATGGTGGCGGAAGATGTTCGCGAGGAGCTGCGTGCAATCAAAGTCTTGAAGTGTACTGCCGATGAACCAGAATTACAAGAGGAGGAAACAAGCAAGAAATTGCAACGACAGTTTGTCTTGGCCAATGCGACTGACGAGGATAAGAAGCAAGAATCAGTATCGACCGCTGCGGAGACTACTACAACTGGACTACGTCGTCGCAAAGGCAACGACGACAAAGAAAATCAAGCCGAGAATGAGTGGACGGTGGAAAAGGAAGAAGAGTTAGATGAAGAGGATCGGTTGCGACGGGCGGATCCTTTGGTCTTTTTTGGAGCAATGCCACCCAAGGAGCTACGAAGAGCACAGCAAGAGGCACAAAATGCACTGGCGAGGTATGTGGAAGCTGCCAATTTGATTGTGGCCATTCAGCAGAGCATGCAGCAATAAACCAGCTAGAAATAAAAGTGACTTTGCAAGCAAGAGTTAATAAGAGTAACATGGTTCCGGTGGCTGTCTACCGGCATGGAAAGGTGAAACTACCAATTCCACTCCACAGTGCGGATAAGCAACATCAATAGTTGCGAATAATCCGATACTCTAGAAACTTAATTCTTCGGAGTCTACTCCATGCTAGTATAGTAATGTATTCTTTTATCTTTTCTATTTCCTATGTAAAAACTTTTGTCAAACTGTGATGGATCGTAAGCAGCTACCACTCCAAAACCACATCAGCGCCAAACTTTGCAGCAATGCAAGCATAATGCGACCGCCACAGTTGGTCGCATTCCGTATCCGTCAACTCGGGTGAACTCAAACACACCTCCAGGGTATGTTTTCGCAGCTGGTCAAAGTCAACGATGAAGGACTGAATTTCCTCATCGTCCTCGTTGGCGAGAGAGTCGTAGAGTCCCTTCGTGTGCCAATCACGCAACTGAAACAGGCGAAGGAGGTCAAAGCCCTCTTGTGGAAGATCCACCTCATTGTGTTGAAGCATCATGTGAAGGTATTCCGGACCAGACCAAGTCAGGTCGACATTTGCCAGCCCACAGTGGCGCGTGTAAACTCCCAGGGGAGTGCTGTAGCGATCATCATGTTCGTCGCTATTCAGGTCTTTGAATTCGGTAAAGATTGCATTGTTGGGATGGGCACAACCCACCACTCGTGATGTGCTCGGGAGGGTCCAGTCATAGTCGTCGTTCTCGCCAGCAGCACCCTCTTCGAGATCATGAACAACACTGGCCAAACCATGTACCAGTGCCACAAGCTGGACCCAATCAGGATGTCCTGCAGCTCGTGCCGCTTCGGCTGTTTCAAAGCAAACAGACCGAAGGGAGATGTCACAGGCATCCATTCGCCAGGGGAACCCCTTCCTGTGTTTGACCCGTGTGAGCGCTTCTTGGAGAGTCATTCGTCCCAGCTGACAGCACTGATACTTCTTCTTACATTCCTGGACAAAGTGCACTGTTTGTCGAATCCAGGATTGTCGGTAGAACTGCCTTCGAGGAGGCGTATCCGAAGTACAAGTAAGGCTCAACTCGTCACTGTTGGATTTCCAAAAGGAGGGCGTCTTGGTACCTTCGAAATGTAGGCTGATGGGATCGAGGTACAGATAGGTCCCAAAATGCGAGAGGACAATCCAAAGATCATGTTCCGATGTTTCTTCTGCCCTTTCTAGATTGTCCGACATTCGTCTCAGCTCAAATGTCGAGGTGCCGTTGCTGTAAGACTGCTCTTCTTGCTCGGTACAGCGACCCTCTGGATCGATGGACAGGTAATGCCCCGTGGTTGTTCGAAATTGAACGTGACCACGCCCATCTTGTGCCATGAGCCAGTGCTGTTGCCTCTTGCCACTGTTATCGTCCAGTTTGCCTTCCCTGCCCTTGGAACCCAACAGCACAATGGGCATAAATCCTCCCATGGTTGTTTTTATCAAACAAGATGGATGATCTGCTGTCGCCTGCAAGTCAATCTGCATGGGGACCTTGCGGTAGGTTTCTCCATCATTGTTGTTGAGAAACTGAGGCCTGGTATTGGGCTTGACGACACACCCCAACTGGGAATAGAATCCAACCAACTTGTTGTGCCGTCGAACATCTTCTTCCGCATCCAGTTCGCAACAGACAGCTTTTCCTCGATCTTGCAGTGTCCTCACGGTCTCGGAAAAGAGGAGTCCACCTAGATCAAAACCTCGGTAGCTCCCCTTCACATCCAAAACGTGAATCTTGGCGGCTGCCTCGAATTCGTTGTACGAGAAAATAATCTTGGCAATGGCGCCCTTCAAATCTGATCGAAAGAGCAAGATTCGCTCTTCTCCTGGATAAGTCGCCAGAGGCCCTCCTTGTCGATGTTCCAACCGAAACGTCACAGGAGAGGAAACAGAGGACTTCTTGCCGCCTCGCCAGCGTCGTCCATCAAACAGGTCTTGCAACCCAGACAAGGTTTTCTGCTCTGTTGTCTCTTTGGATGTCGATTTCCAATCGCAACGGGCTCTCTTGCGAGGGGTTGCTTCAGACGACGATGAAGAGCAACATGACGCAGAAGCAGAGCAATCTGAAGACCGATTGTCCTCCTGATGTTCCGTGGTAAACCTAATTGTTCTTTTTAATGGCAGACTCATTGTGAGAGAGCTACTCTGATGTTCCGGTACCGAGAGCTACAGTAATACCTGTACCTCAGACGGTTTGTTCAGCTCTAGTTGTTCCGCGAAAGAAGACGCAAGGCGTCGACGACGAGAACCGCTCAAGGCAGAAATGGTTGTGTTGTTGTGGCACCTCATTCTTCAAGCGTCAATGCAGTTGCGGAAGCTGTCGTCAGTGCTGGAGGGAAGGAGTTGTCAAGGTTGTCACCCTAAGCTAACCGGTGGCAGCCGGAGTTGTCTGAAAAAGATTTGGCTCTTGTCCGGTGTTGATGGCTTGGGAATTGAGGATTTGAAGATTCCAGAAACCGCATTCCCACCATTGACCTCACCAGGTGAACAAGCCAGCTGAGTAGCGTTTCATGCATGGAGCTCGAAAGCACCAGCACCTCACGAGTGGGTTGAGGAAAAAGTGTGAAAAAGGAAGAAATAAATGTTTCTGAAAAAGTCAAATTAGTTGTTTTAGTCACAATAAAATCGAAGACCCTGTCGATGTCTTCGATTGAAGACATTGTCTTCTAAGTAAATAGAAGAAAGAAGCTTGTATTGTCCGGGGAATGAGGTTTAAACCAAATGTCTAAATCTTTAGTCTACCCCATCTTCTGTATCACCTTTAAGACTGAAGACGGTGTCTTCGAAGACAGTGGGTTCGAAGTTCGAAGACAGTGGGTTCGAAGACTGTGTCTTCGATCGAAGACAGCGAAGACAGCGTCTTCTAACTAAAGAAGACAGTTTCTGCTACTACTAGTAGTAGCATGACTCAATTGGAATTAATTTTTACATTTGAGATTTTGCGTTTTCGCAGAATCAGTCATTTACCGCGAGGTGCAGGCAAGCAGTGTTCACTTTTCCTTGGAATGAAGCTCTACCAGTACGACTGTACGTGTACACACTTCCTGAACCAACGATGGATGCTTTTCAATGGTTTGCCCCTGGTGAAATCCTTGGGCACGCCACGCCCTCTTATAGTATTCTCTCAAACTGGCTCATACTTGCTCTTGGCAGTCAGGATCTAGCCAGATCTTGGCCCCCAATTTTGGACCTTTGTCAAGATTTGCATCAGAGGGTATTGACTTTACTTCGAGTCAAAATGACCTAGTGCTCATGTGTTCGTAAATTTTTGGCATAAGACTGTTGTCACATCCTTCCTGTACCAGGTAGCGTTGCGAATGCATTAACTTTTTGTTGTCTGTTTTGGCTCATTGGCGCCACAAGCGTCTTGACCTAGCAGTTTGGCTCTCAGGCGCTCCAGAAAGGGTTTGATAACTGCCACTGAGGTTTCTACAAGCTCCTCTAGAAGTCTGGAGACGGATTGTACCTATGGTAGGTTCAACGGTGTGTTATGGGAACTTGGTCCCACAAGTGATGTGTGATCATCGCTGGGTACTGAAACAAAAAGGTCGCTGCCGAAAAACAGGAAAGATATTTTCTTTTTCTTTGGTCAACAGATCGTCACCAATGGGTAGCTGCTAAATGACGGGGAAACATACGAATGCTTAACTGAAGGGGGTGGTTTGATATTTCTATAGTAAAACAATCAAAGCAAAGTTGTTCAACATTAGATTAGGTGCCAGGTTCCGCTAACCCTTTGTTGAAGAATTCCTCTGGTCAGAGTCGATTGCAACAGTGTTCCATTCCTCCTTTTCTCTCTTTCCAGCACAAGTTTTAGCCCAAATTGGGATCGAGATCAGGAAGCTGCAACCCAGCCCTTGCAGCGGCTCGACGACTCATTTCTTTCGGCGTCAAAACACTTTCAACCCCTGCATCCAGTTCATATAACCGATCCCTTTCCTTGAGATCACGGTGCAACTGCAGAAAATCGGAAGCCAATTGACGTAGTTGAGCGGTTTCGTCTGGGCATGATACTTGTTGGGACGCACGGTACTGCTGTAGGACGAATGATCGTGCTGGGATTGTGCTTGACGAAGGACCTTTAGCAGCAATCTCTTGTGGCAACGTGCGGTCCATATGCCTTAGAAGGCCACGCAATACATGAATTGGTTTGGTAGAAGAAGACATTGGTATCATGATGTTGCGGCTTGCCAAACAGAGGGGCGATGGGCGATGGGATGGAAAGATGGCTGGTCGATTGCGTCTTGGCTCCGCCAAGACTTTTTACAAGCCAGTTGAGTAGTTTTGACACTGAGGAAGAAAGCACAAGTGAACAGCTCGGCACCACCAATCCAGATCTAATCCATCTCCTTGCATGCTCGCCCACTACACTATCTATAGTAGTGTACTAGCTACAGTATGTCTCATTGTTGATCATGTCTTCTGATAGTATTGCAACTGGTTTGGGTGCTGCTGCTAGTGCTGGTGGTGGTGGTGCTCCTGCTGCTGCTGCTGCCAATAGCACTGCCAACAACAATAAGAAGCAGAAAATGTCTCCTCCCGTCGATTCTCTTCTGTCAGCCACTGAAAATGACCTTTTGATCCAAGGCATTCTACCATTTGTTGGTGTTGGACAGTACGCGTTTGTAGGAGCTGTCAACAAAAAGATGAATCAACTGTACAAATACTACTGTGAAATTGAGCTCAAGAAGAATCCAAGAAAGGTATGCGATAACACAGAGGAGGCCCTTGTAGACGACCTGGAGGATGATGGTCGCTCTGCAGAAGTCACCGACACTTGTTACAGCGAAACTTTTTGCAATGTGCCCCGTGCGGAGTACTGGCAAAGGGACAATTCCAGCAAGAAAACACCCGATCGCGATCAAGTTTGTACTACAGTTGCCAAAATTGGAAATCTTACTGTCATGAAGTGGGCACGACAAAAAGGATTCCCCTGGAATGAGCAGACATGTGCCTATGCTGCCCACTATGGCCATTTGGAAACTTTGATGTGGTTGCATGCAAATGGTTGTCCATGGGATGAAGGGACATGTTCCGATGCTGCTTTTGGAGGACATTTGGAAATTATAAAGTGGGCTCGTGCAAATGGGTGCCCGTGGAATGACATGACATGTGCATCCGCTGCCCTATATGGACATTTGGAATTTCTGAAGCGGGCCCGTTCAAATGGTTGTGAATGGGATGAACTCACATGTGAGTGGGCTGCCGAAAGTGGCCATTTTGAAGTTTTAAAATGGGCTCATGAAAATGGTTGTCCATGGAATGAGCGCACATGCGTAGGTGCAGCCTTAAATGGGCATTTGGAAATGTTGAAGTGGTCTCATGAAAATGGTTGTCCATTGTGTGCAAGGGCGTGTGCCTATGCTGCTCAAAAGGGTTATTTGGAAACTTTGATGATGTGGTTGCATTCAAATGGTTGTCCATGGGATGAATGGACATGCTCAGTTGCTGCTAAAACTGGACGTTTGGAAATCTTAAGGTGGGCTCGTGAGAATGGTTGTCCATGGAATGAAGGACGTGTATCTATGCTGCTCGGAATGGCCATTTGGAAGTTCTAAAGTGGGCCCATGAAAAATGGTTGTCCATGGGATGGATGGACATGTGAAGAAGCTGCTGAGAACGGACATTTGGAAATCTTAAAGTGGGCTCGTGAAAATGGTTGTCCATGGAATGAAGGACATGTATCTGTGCTGCGAATGGATTTGGAAATTCTAAAGTGGGCTCGTGAGAATGGTTGTCCATGGGTGGGACATGTAAAGCTGCTGAATGGACATTTGGAAATCTTGAAGTGGGCTCATGAGAATGGTTGTCCATGGAATGAAAGGACATATCATTTTGCCTGGATAAATGACCGCAGGGAAATGATGCAGTGGCTACGCGACAATGGCTGCCCTGGGTCTCACAATGACGATGAAGGACACTAATATTTAAGCATCACTCATGTTGTCCTCCCAGAGAGTCAAATTTTCTGAATCTCTCACTCGCTCGTTGCTGAAATCGTATAGCCCAGCAGCTACGGTATGATTAGTCTCACATGTAGTTGGTTTTCAATCATCTAGCTAGCTAGCTAGTCTCGATGCAAGGAGCACGGCAGCACTTAGGTTCCATCCAACCAGGAGAAATGGGGTGTCATCTACCATTCATTTTGTTTGTTCCGGTACTGTACTGTACAGCTGTTCATCCTGACTATAAAATAAACACTAACAGGAAATTGTAAGAGGATGCCAGGAGCTTGTTTGGCTAATCAGCCTTATGGTACCGGTATTCTGGCCTCTAACTTTAGAAGGTACCGGTAGCACTGGCCGTGGCGGCACGTACTCCCTACCCGATAGTCCGCAACACAAGAAAGCCCCAAAAGCAATAATGTAGAAACAATACTCTCGCCTAGTAGTAGTTTGTATTTTGTTTGTTATAGCGGCGGATGGTGTTTCCGTTGTGGATGGGAACTCAACGAGGACCCGGCATTGCTGGTATTGCTAGTGTGTGAACTACCATTCAAGCCTTGTTCATCCTCGTTGCCATTGAAATAGTGATACCGTTGATCGTGGTCAGCATCTTGTTGTGATGGTCTGGAAGAAGGCGATGGAGCCGCTACCGCACCCATGCTTTGTTGCATTTTCAATTCACGCTTTTCCGCCAGCATCCGTCGTTCTCGTCCATAATTGAGGTAAATGAGGGACGAAAAGAGGCATATCAGGGCAAAAAAGGCGCCCATCAATGCAAACAATCCTTGCTGGGCATGTTCTCTGGCATGGCCACTCAGAGCCAGTGTACCCGTGGTGGCACAGCCCAAGACATTGCCCTTGGCATTGTAGAAGCGAAATCGCAAATCCGGCGTGTAGTGCAGCTCGGAATCCACCGTAAAAGCAGGTACGGTGAAGTAGGTGTCCAACTGATACAAACCAGGGGTCGGACATGATGTCATGGATTCGTATTCGGAATAAACTCGTTGCAAATTGGACCCGGCGTAGCTGCAGAGGTCATCTAATATGGCCACACGCTTCCACTGGTCGTACAATCCAGATTCGACTTCCAATCGAATGGAAGAGGCACCGGTAAAGGAATCTTTGATTTTGACTGCCAGGAGTCATCGAAGAGAGAAAGAGGGATCAAGAAGGTGAGTGAGAATTCAAAAAAAGAGCATTCTAGCTAGCAAGGTTCATCCCAGACAGCGACTGCCAGCTCAACTTACACTCCAGTTGGAGACGAGCCTTGTCTCCGTATATGCAGGTTTCACTGTCACGATAGGTGCTACTTCCCCTGTAATATGCTCCAGGACTGTCACAGACCAAGTAGACTGCCTTGACTTGAAAGTCCTCTTGACTGCAACTGCCAACCAACTGGAGGCCTTTCTTGGTGACGGTGCTGTTTCCACTTCGACTGCTGCCTCCCCAAGCATCTACTACATGACCGCCGTGATTGTTATCGCAAAACGAAACAAGAAGAGCCGTAACGGCAACTTTCCATGCCGTGGCCATTCTTCGCTTCCATGTGATAATTCTTTTTCGCCTCCGTCTCTTGGATGGCAGACATGATGGTAATAGTTGCTGTTCTCGAGAACATTGATGGCATAGACACACCTCGTTGATGTCATTGTCAGCGCAGCCACACGATGATGATTGTCGCGGTCTCTTTCTTCGATGGATCATGGCCACACCACACGGAATGGGGCGACCACGAATCGGCGTTGGGTTCTATTCTCCTTGGCACACCAAGTTATGGATGGCTTGAAACAAGCTGGCCTACTACTGCACTAGTATGCTACTAGTAGCTAGCTAGAACCTCGCCTCTCTTGTTATAGCTAGCACGTACTTCTTCTCTTGGACGATGGGGGTTGATGCGCCATTTCCCGTGGCTTGTCGATTGGCATCAAACGGCTTGGACTGTGACGATGGCTGCAGCAGTGTCCATTCAGGTGTTGCGAGGCGAGAGCTTGAACGAGAAGGGACAGCTTCCGACTTGGGCACCTCCCTCTAAACACAATGATGTGTGTCGTCGCCACAAATCGCTTCACACATGAAAGGCTGGCGTCAGTCACGCTATTACACGACCTATTAGAGATGGCGTTCAGTTGGATCTGAACGTCCCTATTTTTAATAGCTAAGCCTTGGAAACAAGATTCTTTCACTACATGTATCACAGACTGAGAGACACACAAACTAGTCTAGTAACCACTTGGTACCTCCACCAGTATGGCAGAACTATAAGGAAGCTTTCAATGCTCTTTCCTGGATTTGCAAACAGAAAGATGGTATCTGCTGCCGCAATGGGATCATGAAAATGGCTGCCAATGGGATGAATGCTCTTGCCTCCTGCCGTGCTGCTGCCGAATCAAAATTTCCATTTGGAAGTCTTGAAATGGTGCGGTGCAATGGCTAGTATCCCTTGAATGGGCTCACATGTCGTGCTGCGCTGAGGATGGCCATTTCAATAATTTGAAATGGGCCCATGCAAACAGCTGTCCGTGGGATGAACGAACAATGGTTGTGCTGAGGATGATTCATTGCTGTATATTTCAAAGCTGTTTGGCCTACTACTAGTTGAATCCAGCCTGGCAGCCGGGCATCGTAGTCAGCCCCGGCGTTTGGCGGGAGGTTTTAGTTCTTATTGGGTAGTGCTTACTGCCAACAGAACCAAGAGACCAGAGATGGCCCAAAGGAACTGTCTAACCTTTGCCTTGTTCTGTTCTGCAGAAACAATTTTTTGAAGGCCCGTACTCCAACGACGTGACGTATGTTCCTCATCTTGACTCCCATCCCAAGCGAGCTCTTCTAGTTGAGATTCCACGCTGCAACCCTTTGTCGCGTCTGTCTCTTCGACCCTGTACAGCAAGATTCCCGGGACGACCCTTCGAATACCGTTTTCCAAAGCCTTCCTGCGACGTGCATCGTTTTTGCCCTTGCTTGTTTTCTGCGAAAACAACAACGCAACTCCATAGCTTGCCAATTCTATTCGTTGCACTGCTTCTGCAATCCGTTCCGGTGCACCCCGTTTCGGTTGCCCATACAAGACTGTTGCCAGCTGCGTCAATTGTTCTCGTAATGTTGATGAGTTTTCATGCTTGTTGCTGCGGATCATTGCAAAGGATACGGCGCCATCTCCGAGCAGCAATTGTCGGCTTTGTTGATTGATTTCTCGTTCCGATGGAACATTCGTGATTGCTACGTCCCTTCCAAATGCCCCATTGGTGACGTAATGCAGCCCTGTTCATTTTGTGCAACACAAACTGAGAGACCACTCCATCATCACAACGAATGTCGCCTCCAAAACTGAACGATACTTACAAGCCTGCCGCCTCGAGGCGAATACCATGTCGGTGCGGTTGGTTGCACTGTTCTTTGCGAAGTCAAGCTTTATTTGAACGCTTTGTCGTGCGGCTTTCCCAGTTCCCTCTGGTTGGTATCCAACAGCAGATCCCCAATCTTGAACCTGCAATGTTTTGGCTTGCATTCTTGGCACCAGTGCGAGACCCGATTTCTCATTGGCGGCCAAGTACGTTTCTTCTGGAAAAAGTGTATTGTTGAAATAGTCACCATGGTAGACGTTAATCATCAACGCGGTTGCCGCCAGTAAGAGTGGCCCTGACAGCCGACTCCAGTGAACCCCTCGAAATCCAACAATGGGATAGTACAAGAGAGGATGCATGCAAGCTCCTGCAGCTGCACCCGTGGTAACGGTGATGGGTAGCATGAACGAATTGGATAACATAGCTTTGAACCAGCCATCCGCGTCGGGCATATCATAGAACCATTGAAAGGCCTGATCGTAGAGTCCACTGTAGGGACCCACCATTCCCACAAAACTTCCAATAACGGCTCCAGTCCACGGGGAACTAGCTATGGTGGCAGTGCCAAGGCTCACATCCAAGGCAAGATAGGCAGTCCCTGCCAGGCCACCATTGACCACGGCAAATGGCAAGAAGAGTTGGCCATAGGAATACGCCAGTGGTAGCAAATCGTTGGCGGCAAAGGACAGCAGGGTACCCACAGCTCCCACCAAGGTGGTAGCGCCAAGAACGGCATATCGAGTTTGCGAGTCCCAAACAAAGTAGCGAAGGCCGATATTCAAAAACCCAATCACTGGAAACGCCGGTGTTGCAATAGCGGTGGTCGTTGCCACCAGAGCGGTACGCACCGGTAGGGGTGGTTGGCTTCCCAACAGGACCTTTGTTGATGTTGTGGAGTGTCGCGATAATACCAGCATTCGATCCAGCGCATTTCTGTTGGTCTTGTAAAAGCCGTGCCCGGTGCCAAGGTGAAGGCGCAGAGGAATAGCTCCTCTGGATGCTGTCAGCTGTCTCGATGCTATGGATTTGGGTATTCGCGGTGAGATCATGACGGAGAAAGCCGTCGAAGAAGAATCAAACAACCATTTTCTAGAAGCAACATGGTGGTATCGTCGAGATAATTGGCTTCGGATCATTTGAAGTGCGCCGACGATCGATTATTGTACTGTAGGAAGAGGTGGACAGAACTACTATTGTGCGGCTTCAGGCTACTAGCTACTGTAGCTACTAGTAGGAGGTACGGTAGGTAGTCGATCCGGATTATGATTTTTGTGTGCTGTGGTCTCGGACGGTCTCGGATCTTTGGATCTTTTTGAGTCGAATGATTCGATTCATTCGATTTGATCACTCACTTCGTCCTTTGGGTTTTTCGGCCACACCTCGCAACTACGGTACATGTACCGCTACCGGTAGCCAGTCAGAGATCAGAGCAATAATTGTAAGACAAGCTGCATTGCACCGCGGCATGAATGCAGCTACTATAGTAGCTACGGCTGGTACCGTAGATAAGCAATTGCAGAGCACTTCACTTGCTAGCCACAACCGGAGGCACCAGAATAAAATCAGGCTCCCCAGAAGCGTTCTAGAAAGCGGGAAAATTTTCGTTTGAGAGTGCGGCGTCTCGGCTTGTCACAATCTGCACCCAAGGTTGAACCAATCCACTTTCCAGGAGCTTCCCTCAAAAGACCATAGAGAACTGGGATGGCTGATGTCCAGGAAGAATTCACTCGTTCACTTCGCTGGGCTGCTTGTGCCAGATTGTTGACAATTTCCACCAAGGGCGCCTCTGGGTTTCCTACCAGGGCTCTTCCATTTTGGTTGAGCGTTGTATAGTACTCAATCTCTCTTTTCTTTGATTTTTGGGAGCGACGTTCATATGGCGACTTCGAGCAGATGTATGCCGTCTCAAGTGTGTAATTGCTCTTCAAGATCTCAACCATAGCATGTTGGTAGGCTTCTGCCATTCGACGATAAGGGATTTCAATGAGCTGGAATTTCTCTAGAGAAGATGTTTTGATCGTTTCCAAGATGGGCGCAAAATAGTCTCTGTTCAAGTTGGGAGATGGCACAGTCGGTTCAATGGTGATGCGAAGATACTTCAACTTTCGTTGCATGTGGCTTGCTATGGCTTCGACCAGATCAGAGTTCCAATAAAGTCGCAAGTTCAAGTTGTGAAGATTATCCATACTTTTCAATCGTCCAACTAAAACTTCTGCTGATTGTTGATGCGGAGCGAAACCCCCAAGGCAAAGTTCCTGGGTATCCTCTGGGATGTACCGAATCATCCGAGCTAGGTAACTTTCACTACGTCGAACCTTCTGCACAGCGTCTCAAACCTGTCGGCCATGATTTCTTGTTCGGATGATGCACGGGCGGCATCAAGGATTTCGTGCATAATTAATGCAATTGTCCTTGGCGAGTACGCATTTGGTTCTGTCAATTCTTGCAGAAAATCTAGAAGTGCTGGATCTGGGTTGAATCTGCACGCATCATGAAAAACGTCGGCGTTCATTGCTTCAGGGTTCCTCAGGTACACTTGCTCGATCAAATCCATGGGTGCTGCGGTGACAACCAGCTTGTGCAACAGAGGAAGTGACAGGAGTTTAGTAAGAGATACTCTGTCTCCATCGTCTGCGCACGTTAGCGATGGCATGGCAACAGCGCTAGCTAGTACATGTACCGTAGCAGAACCCTTTTGCAGTTTTGTCATTGGCAAACCTTTCAAGAAGGAAGCAAGTCCAAGCAATAAGCCAGCTAAACCAAAATGGGTTAATTTGGCGGGAGAGCGCACCCGGTATTGTAATCGGGTATCAAAACCGCTTCTAATTACGATCTCAACTGACGTACTCAAATTACAGTATACTCCGCGCTGCTCTCCCGGCGATAGCGACGTGTCATTGTTTGGGTGACAGACTTGTCCAGATCTCTGACATGCCTCAAATTATACCCCCTTTGCTTCTTATCCAAATCTATAAGCTTTTCTCAAATCGCCCCCAAACTGTACCTTCACTGCATGCCATCATTACTGTTCGCATTTAACTCAAGCCCTATCCGAAGCCAATGCTAAATTTTACGGGTACTAGTAGTACAGTACGGGTGGTGCCACCCAGACGTTTTGTCGACCAGATCTCTTGATCTCCTCATTATTTTTTTGTTGTGGTTTGGTACCTTACTATCTAGCTAGCCAGTATTAGCCAGAGACACCCCCAAGATGGACGTTCGACAACGCAAGACACCCAACAAAGTATCAGTGGCATATGGCGAGCCCGATTCTCTCATCAAGAAACCCGCCAACGGATTATCGATCTTCAGCAACTTGACATCGAGACGGAATGCAATCTACATTTTGCCCGTGGTTCTCTTTGTCTACGTCTTTGGTCCCTTTTTGCCACATGCCCCCAAGGCGATCTATGTCTACGTATCCTCTGGCTTTGCCTTTGACATGTTTGTGGGACCTGGCATTCGAAGTCTTGTGGACGACATGGTGGTCGATGATCAACGAATCTTCAACACGGACTTTTCTACCGACCTGCCCGCCAAAAGGGAGATTTTCTTGAAGGAATTCTTGCATTACAGTGACACACACCCTCTTCCTATAATATCCGCACTTGATCCAGAAGAAGAAGGACATTTGGATCCCGCTGGTGTTTGGAAGACGCTATTTGTGCGCAGTGGGGGTCATGATACCTGTGCCGCCAAGTACTTTCCTGAGACGATCAAGGCTGTGGAACAAACTCAATTCAAGATCCTCTCCATCATGTTCTCCCGGTTGGCACCTGGACAAGTGATTCCACCCGTAAGTGGCTTTTCAGAGTTATCTACTTGTACTACGGATTTTGTATATCTGACGTTTTGGCTTTTCTTTTTACGTTTCGCTCCCTTTTTCTTGCTTTCTGTATCGATCCATTGTCGCTATTAGCATGTAAGTCTCTTGATACCTCTGGATGCGTACGACCCCCCATGATGCTCTTTGTACTCACAAATTCCTCTTGATCCAATTCGTTTTGAAAGACCGGCTACACCAAACTTATTCAGCTATATCATCTTGGACTCAGGGTTCCGCAAAAAGAACCCAAGCCCTTTATGGATGCCTGGGCATGCGATGGATGCCCTAAAGAAACCATTGTCTGGGAAGAAGGCAAAGAATTCGTGTTTGACGACTACTTTGTACATGCAGCAACCAACCCCAACGAGGAAGAACGTATCATCCTCTTCCTTCACCTTCAGAGAATTGATCTCAAGGGATGGCGCCAGGAATTGTTGAGCGGTATCTTCCACTGGATCTTTGCCCACATTCCGTTTGCGCCGGCTCTGTCGCTTGTCGAGGGAACAGAAAAGTCTTGCAACACATTGCTAATGGGGAAGTAAAAGCGGCGACTAGTCGACGTATTCCAACCATGCATGTTGGCGCAGCCCTTGGTGCTCAACGAGAGTCACCGAGGCATCACTCTTACTACTACTAGCACTGCCATTCAATGCATCGTATTTTAAAATCATAATAAAAGTTAAATTTTCAATGATTTTGCTATCAACGCCTCATTACCTTGCGTGCTACTGGGACTTCTTTGAGACGCCCATGTCTACTTTCAGTTATACAAGTTCCTTTGTCAGTTGGATACCCGCAGTCTTGCCGTCGCCTGTGATGAGCACGGGCTGGACACGGGCCAAGAACACAGGACAGGGCCGTGCCAAAGTATAATTGCTACGAACAACCTCCTAGCTATAGGTAGACGGTACCACTGGTACTACCTCTTCTAAACACACACACTTGGACCGTTCTACGGTAGGTAGTACGGATGCTGTCAATGAAACAATGATCAGAGAAGCAGCTGTAATCTCTCAATGCATCGTCAGCACGCAATATGTTGCGCTCGATTTTTCGGCAGATGTAGCTAGCCAGGTTTTCTTTTCACCTTAGCGGCACCCCGGCTAACAAGGAGGCAAGTACAATGCCGGCAATCATGAACACCGTAGTGCCAATGACGTTGATTACACCCACAGTAACGGCAATGGCCAAGGGTTTCGAAATCTTAAGGCGGTTCTGAATGAGTAGCACCAGCCTATCTAGTGAAGGAGCTATTGCAATGGAAAGTCCTACCCGAAGAGGTCGAATGATATTGTTGAATACTACCGGTATGTAGTTGAGGGATGACGACAAAACCGAGCAAGAAGTAAGTGTTGGTATGCAAAAATGATCGGAAGGGGATCGGGTCGATGTTGTGGAGGTATTCATGTACTCACCCCAGAAACCAGCGTAAACACCAAGGAAAGGCTTCCATTGTCCAGGTGCCAATGGACTTAGCCGCGTCTAGAAATAGGAGAAAGCAAACGAGAAGCAAACGAGGATGATGTCAGCCCCCAACATCCTGGAAAAGACAAGGACACATTCGTCGAAAGATTCTGACCTTGGCACTAAAGGTATACCACGCCAGCGAGACCAACAAGGCATAGCTAAGATTGGAAATCATTCCATAGGACAGTACGGTTGCAACGCCCATTTTTGCCAATCGTTCTTTAAAGGACATGTTCTCATCCTCCCGATTTGGGGAAAAGTATCCCTTGATGCGGCCCCAAAGGCTCTTTGGGGGCTCGGATGATTCTGGCGATGGTGTGGAATCTTCGGGTGTTGCTTGGATTTGAAAAGCATAATCCAAGCGTCTCACGGGAGAATTGCCGCCATGGGTGGTCGGTACCGGTGGCCACGACGGGGTTCTCACTGCTCTTGACTCGTAGCACCGGATCCTAGAAGAAGATCTCCCCATTAGTGACAGAGGGACCACTGGAACCATTTTCCTTCTGAACGAGGCATGTTGGTTCCAGGCCGAGATACTGCCTGCCAAGCATAGTAATAGCACAATGGTTGCGGTTCTCAACATGATTATTGGTTGTCGAGTCGAGTCGACGAGTTGTGTGTTGTGTGCTAGTGTGTTCTGGCAGGCTGTTCTGGCTGTGTTTGTGGGATCTTGGTATATCAGCAACACGAGTGTCCCCGGCCGGCCAGAAGCCATTCGAGCTGGGATATGGGGCCCAGTGAGAGTACAAAAGCAAACAATGTAAATAACAAATTCGACTCACCAGGAGCTAAAAAAGTAAACTAACAAATAACGAAAGGCAATGAGGTGAGAGGCTCATATGGAATTTGCGTACAACCAGTGCAGGGATGGATCAAGCTTGTAGCCCTCCTCAACATCTATATGAGCGGGAAGTCAGTAGCTGCCTTGGTTGTAGAGTAGTGCGCATAAAACAATAAGGTGCTTTCTGGTACTGTAGAAAATTGTATGGGGCATCTAACTGCTGTTTGGAAGGCCTCAAAAAGAGTGGAATAAAGGTGCTGCTAGAACGTCGCAGCTGCAAGGCTTGGTGCCAAACCGATTGAGAGTTAAGCAGATGTATACCTACTCCAGCTATCTGTAGCTGCTCAAGCTGGGGGGTGAACTGTGTATTGCAAATATCCAATTGCAAAACGTTGTTTTTGTTGACTGTTGGCAGTCGTTATTTTACTGTTGTACTGGGACTTTAAATAAATTTTTTCTAAAATAAAAATGCAAAAATGAATTCATTTTAATGTAAAAATATGATGTTTTTGACGTTTTTACCAAACATATTTATATAGCTACATTGCACGACAACATTACGCGACTCTATTACAAAATTTATAGATAATTCTAACACATAAGAACATAGCTCTAACACATCAGATCACAGCTCTGACCCACAAAATATAGTTCTAATCGCGAAAATGTAGCTCTATTGCGTGAAAAATGTAATTCTAACGCAATTGCAATACACGGCTCTTAGCCTTATTCGCGACTCGATCCTAGATAGGGTTTGAGTTCGACTCATGACTGAGTCTCTCGTGAATAGTCATTTGAGACAGGGTTCTCAATGACCGCTCTGGTCATACTAGGTTGATGATGAAACATCGCTCTAGATATTTACATCTAAGAAGCGCATAATGGGGTAGCGCGAAAACAGCGAGGTCGGTTACAAAATTGCCAGGTCAGTCGATGGTAAGGTTACCAATCGGTAACTGACCTCGCGCTTATGTATGGTGGGTACAA